AAAAATTTTAAATTTTCTTTAAAAAACAGAAAAATTTCGTTTTGATCAGATTTCGTTTTAATCTGTGACAATAATTAATTATTATAATTCGAAAAATCTCATTATTAGTTTGATAATTCATCTTGCAATTAGACTAATAATTATTTATAATAGAGTTTGGGCCTCATAGCTTACTAGTTAAGCTTCCAAACTCCCACAGACAAGGTCGACAGTTTGAGTCAAGCTGGTGGCAAATTTTGAATTTGCTACTATAACCTTAAGGAGCTATAATCGGATACAAAGCTCTGTGAAAAGTCCAAGTGCAAGTATGGTCTAGGAATAGGAATTCCCGGAAGGAGCCCTGATTATGGAGTGCAGGTATCATGTGTGATAGCGGCATCACAGAAGGTCTAGATTGTAGAAGATCGCACGAGTTAGTCCTCTGGTTGGGGTGACTCAGAGGCAACATCAACATCCTTTTACCTCTATATTAGACAATACCAACATCCTCGCATCCAACTTGTGGAGTACTTGCTTGGAAGGATAATTAATGTATTGTGCGTATTAGTTCTAATTTGGAAATGGTGCTGGGTACTTGCTTGGGAGAGTGATACGTAGTGTTACAAATTGAAAATTGAATTAATCGATTAGTTGTAACGTTGACAACTAATCGATTTAAATTTTAGAAACCCAACTTAGTCGATTAATCAATTAGTCGACTAATCGATTAATCGATTGGCCAACTAATTGATTAATTGATTAGTCGATTGGTCAATTAATTGGCTAGTCGATTGGTCTATTAAATCAACCGATCACATAAGAATAACAACTGGCGTTTCGTTGCTACCTTACGTAAATTTTATTAAGTTTCAGTTATTATTTATTCAACTAATTGATTAGTTGGCCAATCGATTAATTGATTAGTCAATTAATCGATTAATCGATTGGCCAACTAATCAATTAGTTGAATAAAACCGATTAATCGATTAGTTGAATAAAATGATTTATCAACTAATCGATTAGAAATTTTTCATCGATTTGTATCACTAGTGATACGATACTACTGAAAACTGGAATGGTGAGAGAAGTGGTAAACATATGAAAGAGCTGTGATAAAGGATTGGCCTTACTTGGACAAGAAGCACCTCTGGCAGTGGGAAACAACTATCTAAAGAAGGTAATTTCATAGAGGCAGGCTAGCTAATCTAATATGTCTAAAAGCACCAAGTCAGAGCTCTGGTCATATCTATATGGAAGTCTTTAACGAAAGAAGCCAGAATACATCAACAATAATGCAATACCAACCAATGATAAAGAATCAAGTTGGAAGTCAAGGTGAATTGAAGTATGCCTCCTAGTAACATGACGCAAGGCCTACAGTTGGAAGTAGAACTGCTTGCTACTTAAGGAATTTCGTGGTATTAGGCTGGTCTTTAACAAGATAGGTCATTAAAGTGGCTATGCAATATGGTTCTGGTAATATACTATATGAGAAAGTACAAATGGATTAGTTGATACTACTATATCAGAAAAAGAACGTTAAGTCCTGAGGTAGGCAAACAAGCAGTGGCAGCAGGGCTTGGCTTGAGATATGGGTTAGTAGTACCTGGGCTGATAAGTGAGAGATTAAAGCATTCATGAAAAGAGATAGTGCATAAAGAAATGCAAACCGATTAAGGCAGTGCAAACCCAAAATAAGTCCTTAATCGACAATATAATACCAACTCAGTCATGTGGCGAACCTAACTAGGCAGCAAGTCCTGGCTTGAGATACGAGGCTGTAAAAAGGCCACCTGCATCAATTATAGTTATATGAATAAAGTATCTTAGTAGGAACTTGCAGTGGATTATACTTGCAGGTACACCAAATTGGAAGCTTATTAGAAGTGGACACCCGACGTACCAAATTGGAAGTTATGACTGGTTGTGTGAGACATGGGAGAAATGTGGTATTACTAGAAATAGTTAGTTGGGAAGCGCAAAACTAGGTGAGACATGTGTGGGATATGTAACACTCTAGTAGGTTTAGGTCGTAGATAAATTAGTCTAAGTCTCTGTAGTGATGCATTAGCGTATATATAAAGGACTTGTTGTAATAAGTATATGTTAATAAAAACCAGAGGCGTGATCTCACCTTAATATTAAAAAAAAAAATAATTATTATTATTTATAATAAGAGCTTGTGAATATCTCTGCACTTATCACACTACGTTGCTAGTGAAAAAGTATCTGTTCAATTAAATTTGCTCAAAGTTTGTTTTTTTTTTTGTTCAATTCTTTTTTTAGAAGTGCTTTAAAGTCTGCATTATTGAGGTTTAATACATCTTCAGCATTATAGATATCATAATCCAACGTAAGATGGTCTAGATCATTAATTTTAACGAGCTTTTTTTCTTTATTTAACATCTTGGCAATCCTTTTTAAAAGACATTTTGATATAAACATATGCCACGCTTCCTTAAATTCTATAGTGAATGTTGCTTCTTCATCGATTGCTTCAAAGAAACGTCTAAGAAACGATCGTCAAACATCTTCTTGAAGGTAATCCTGAACATTAGTTCACTGAATTTGAGAAAAGCATTTTATCTTAAAATTGAAACTTAATTATGATTATTGTCCAACACACCAAAAATGCATTTTACTTACTTAAAATTTTCGATAAAATACTCTGCAATTTTTTTGAGACTGCTTCGATATACATCTCTATAGCTTTGAAATGCTGCATTTACAGCTCCTTTTAAGACTGAGACACTTTTAGATGATAATTTTTTGAACGAAAAGCATAACTTAATGCATTTAAGAATTATTTCTTTCGTAAGATGCCATGTTCTAAAAAATAAATATTTTAAAAATGTTTGAAACATTGTTGATTCCTAAAAAAGAAAGATCATTTATAAAAATTAATATGTATTAAAAACATTTATAATTTGTACTGGGGGTGTTCAACACTGGGTGCTATATCTCAAAAACCATTTAGGAACTTAAAACCAGATGTATTAAGTAAAAATGTCCAGAACTCAAAAAACCACATGACAACTAAAATTTAAACTTTTATATTTGATCTATATCTTAGTTAAAGGTTTCACATACCAATTTCGTACACCCTTATTAAGAACAGACCTACTTTCAAATATTTACTAATTGATATTTATTACTTGGGATGGACGTTATTGATAGGGTGTATGAAATTGGTATATAAAACTTGTAAATTTAATAGTAAACATAAAGATGGATATTGATAACCCAGTACAAAGATAATTGTTTTCTTAATATTATATAGTTTTCTTTCACAATTAAAAAGTAATCTTACTTGTTGAGTGAGAACTTCAGGTTTTTCATCATCTGATTCTTTAAGACCATCATATTGAGCTATTTTATTTGCAATTTTTAAAAGCTCTGATCGTTCAAAAATATATGCAGCCGCTTCATATTCTGATTCAAATATAATTTTTTTGCAGTTATGTGGCTAAGAACAGGATAGAAAAGGTTGAGACCGAGATAGAGAATGAGAGCTTTGCAATTAAAAAGGTTGAGATCTAGACAGAGAACGAGAGTATCATAATTGGAAAGGTTAAGATATGAATGGTGAACAAGAACCTCGTGGTTGGAAAGATTGAGATCTGGATGAGGAGCTAGAATGTTGTGGTTGGAAAGATTAAGATTTGGATAGGGAATGAAAACACCATTAGAAGCTAAATAGGGAACGAGATCATCATGATTGGGAATGTTGAAAGTCTGAATAAATGTGTCTCAATTGTGAATGAGAGCGTCGTGAGCGAGAAGTTTTGAATTAAGAAATTCGTGATTGAGATTGAGAACGAGTATGTAGCGATTGAGAATGAGTGTGTGGCGATTGAGAATAAGAGTGTGGCGATTGAGAATGAGAGTGTTGTGATTGAGTGTCTTCAGCACTATTACCCAAAAGCACTTCATTACAATCATTAAAGTCTTCAAGATCATCATTCAAATC